TGTGAAATCTTTCCGGGCGTAGCTCTGGCTTCCTCATTGTGGCTGCCTCTGTTTATGAAATGTGGAGGCAGTGACGGCCAAACACCAAGCATCAGAAGTGATTTCTGAGGGGACGCTTGAAGAAATAACATGCCAGGGACTTAGTGCTGGATGTTGGGAGACTTCTAGGTCACGTTAGTAAATTGAGCTTTCCTGTTGTGCTGAATAGGGAAGAAGAACAATTGCCCCCTCCCCCTAGCCCTGTTGTTTTTGAAAAATGCAATGCAAAGTGTCTTAGTGGAGATTCTCTTTTGACATTGCTATGTGTGTTTCCAGCTACAGCATTGAAATAGCTGTTTAGTGGTTTTATTGCTTAGATTATAGTGTAGTGCATGAAAGATTTTTCTTTGGAAATCCATTTTTCTCTTACTGTCCACTTTCATAATAACATAGAAATTAAGAAGTATAAATTACAGGTAGTAATGTAAAATACATTTTAAATAATATATCAAACTGACTGGGCATTAAGAGTAGTTAGGGCTCAAAATCAGCACAGCTTCAAGGAAGGCTTCAAGGGATGAAATATTTCAAGCATTTTATAGATGAGCTGTGCTTATCTGACTAGCAGAATATCTTGGCAATGTGTTTGTTGCTTAAGTCTCGTTGTAACAGGACATGGAAGATGATTACACTTCAAAGCTATGTTGCGAGTATGCTTATGAGAGAGTGTCAAGGGAAACTCAATGAGATGCTGCTCAGAGAAAAGCATGTTCTAGTGAATTTCTAGTACTAAGCCCTTAAAAGCGAGAACTTGCATTCTTTGTGAGTACTAAACAAGATAAAGATGGGTTAAAGCACTGCTGGTCTTCCAAGATTAAGTTGTGGTTTTTGTTTGTTTGTTTTTTTGAGATACTGACGGTTTGGTCGATCAGTATTAAAATAGTAATTTCATGACCCGTGGAAATTGTAAATATCAAGGTAGCTAGCTTAATGCCATATGTAATCTTGGAATTTCAGAACCTGTTCCTTGAAGTCCTGAACTTTGCTTCAGCATGGTCTATAGAGAGTTTCTTGTATAAACTTTGATTTTTCCTGACTCTTTTTTTGTCAGTTGTATAGCAAACACTTTTTGCTGAAGTTCACAAAAAACACTTACAACAGCACCTCAGAAGCAGCTCCACTCCTTAGTGGGTGGCTTTACCCATATTCAGCTGAACTAGGACCATAGTTTCTACTCTCTTAACATCATAGTGCAGTAGGGTACTGAATGGACAGTGTTGAGGAAAAAAACACCATCTTGAATGCATTAGCTTGATTAACTATACTTGTGCTATAGTATTGAATGTTTTCAAATTGATAGATTTATGTGTTGGAGACAATTGCATTGATGTATGCAGATATCCATTTATAAACATTTCTTCTCTTAAGAGCATACATCAGAAACAACTGAAATCTCAAGGCAGACTATATACCATTATTTGCAGATCAAAAGAATAAAATAACAGTTTACTAAAAAATACCTGTCAATGTACTTAGAAGATTTGAACACTTGGTATTTCCTGCTTTATTTTGTGGTCCTTCTCTTTAAATTTCATGGCATTCATTTTACAGTGGGTCAGTATGTATTTTTTGACTGACTAGCATTTGTTTCTGTTTTTCATACCATTCTGTAGCACTTCTTTCTCCACTTCTTGTTTGTTATTCCCCATAGTTCGGATTTCAAACTCTATCCCCCCTCGCGTAAAACAGACATACAAACAAACATTTAAAACTCTTCTACCAAACTTTTTTTCCTTGTATGTATTTAAAAATACCTCTATTTGAATAGATACTTGAAACGGAGAATCATCTTACTTCCCACGGCTATTGGAAATGGAACAGAGCTTCAGGAAAACCAACCACACAGACAAAAACAGGGAGGGAGGGAGGGAGGAAGGGAGGGAAGTCCTAGCTTAATGATTCCTGGGAGCTACAACTGTTCCACCTGTGCCTTTTCACTCTAAGCAGTAGAAAGAGACCTTAGTTATTCAGTTGAACAATCCATTTTTGCCTCTGTTATTTAGGAATCATGAAGTGCTCTAGGTCAGTGGTTTTTAATCATGAAAGAAGATTTGCTGCAAGTCTGTCAGGTGTTTGTAACTTCAGGCTTGTTTATGGTAGACTTGTAGTCAGAATATGAAGTCTGAAGAGTTGGTCTTTGAAAACTAACTTCAAAAAATTGGAAAACTTTACTTATTGAAAGCAATTATTCTTTGCAATGGGTCCATTAAAGATTTTTTTTTTTTTTCCCTTGGGAAAAGTGTTTAAATTTTTTATGGGGGGCTGATTTTC